TTAAGTAAGAGCTTTCGGCTTCAATACCTGGAGAACTTCCTTCTCTCTCGAAGCCTTCCATAGTCTAAATTGCTCAGATTCCTGTTTAATCTTGTGTTGAAGTTGAACCTGGAATACAAAATTGCCTTAGGAGTTTCGACACGTTATATGAAGGTCCTCTAATCTTTAGGATACAAAGATACCTTATGGGACTTAATTCTGTGGATCTCATCCAGTAACCTTTTTGCTGCCTCATCACTCTTTTGTTTCTGTCTCAATATTTGAGCTTGTGCATCCTGTTTCTTCTTCAACTCCGAGACCTGAAGTCCAAAATATGAGACAGTGACATATATATTATACTTCAGGCCTATTTGAAATGAATTTATAAGTGCAAATAGCTTTTTGAACTAAATTATTTGAGGGTCAAGGGCACAAAGCAACTAAATTCACCTGGGTTTCCAGGAAATTCAACTTCTGAAGATATTCTTGCTTCAATTTTTGTGCACCATCATCAGATGTAGAAGATATGCTCGAAAGATTACATTTGAGTACCTCGATCTCTTTCTGAAAAGAAACAAGATAAAGGCAATGACCTGTAAGATATATGTGACGACAGTTAAGCTTGTAGTATATCTTGGATAGAACAATGACCTGTAACGCTCTCTTTTCTTGTTCCAGTTCGTGGACCTTCCTTTCATAATGTTGTTTAAGAACAGAGGTATCCGCACCAGAAAACCGTTTCATTTCAGCCTTCAGCAAAGGAGAGTGAATATACATAAAAAAAGACGAACAAGAACATAGAAAATAAAACTTAAATGAGACAATCTCGGAACAATCAATCTTATACAAAGGATAGGACAGCATGTTGAACAGTTAAGGACAATCAGGATCGAGTAAAAAATTGTGAGAAAAGGCTCCCTAGAAAATTCCATTCTCCAAATTATTCTTTGGAATTAATAATCAGAATCTTTTATTTTCTTATTAATTTGAATGATTATGAATTCTTAACAGATTAATAGTAATCATCATAAATAAAAAGCTATTTAAGAAAATTGATAGGTAGAAAGTATCAGCAAAGCCGGATGTCAAACGAGTGTACCGTACCTCCTTCTGCTCAAGTTTCTTATCCAATTCTTTTAGCTCCCTATCCAATCTTTCTTGCATTGTTGAATGCTCAATCTCCTTCTCATGATCTTCGATTCCATCTGCAAAAATCAACCAGCCCTCTATGTGTTAACATGTCAAACTCGTAGAAAATAACATATCGACTCCAAATACGTCCATAGAACAAATACCAAATAAAAAAATTAACAACGACGTTTATTTGCAAGTTTCTTGCTTCGCAATTATGATCCATCAAGCCACAGTACATCGATTGACTTAATCCATAGAGGTTCTCGTACTAACCTGAAATATCTACAGCTTTAGGATCATAGTCCGACGAATACTCATTTGAACATGGAAATAAGATATTGCTAGAGTTGGGCCTATCATCATCAGACTCCACTAGATCCGCATATCGACTGAGTTTTGGGTTGTTAAAGCTTTGCAAACGCAGTACCTCCCCTTCTAGCTCTTGAATTTTTGAAACATAACTCTTGACTAACTCACAATCCTGGAAGTGGAAAATTATTCGGTTCTCATGTCCAAAGATGAGAACTTTTTATGCAAGCAAATCTAAGAAAGTAAAAATTGCATCAGACCTTATCGAAGTTAGATTCAATCTCATCTAAAGATTTTCCATTCCGCACTGATTCAATTATCATGGCAAGCTTGTCTTTCTCAACCTGAATTATTCAACCGAACAAAATTATTTATACAATAGGGATATCAAGTATCGATAGTAAACTATTATTAAGTATAGAAATATCTTTCTAAAAAGAAAACCTGAGCATCAATAGCACGTTGAGACAAATGATCGCAAGTGACTCGGCGTTCTTGAAGCTCCCGCAACAACTCACCATTGCTTGCTTCAAGTAATGATATTTTGTGCTTTAGCATCTAAACACAAAACCGATGTTAGTTATGCCTCTATATCACATTACATGGAAATCCATGTAAACAATTCCTGAGAATGATACGAACCTGAAGCTCCTCATATGGTAAACCTGCATCACCGCGGTAGAATAAAAGCTCAGCTTGCAACTGCTCAATTTGACTTCGCATTTTCTGTATCTGAGCTCCTACAGGATCTCGGTTGATCTAAAAAATAAAAAATCGAAATAAGTAATAATGAAAGAAAGATCTCAAAGAAAACCAAGATATAAAAAAAGAATTAATTCTAGATAGAAACTTACAACTGCTTTATTTTGAATATTGCGAGCACGATTAGCATATTTTAGCGTGTTCAGGGTCTCCTCAGCATTTGAGTCGGCAGGACTAACACAAGCTATGCAGGTGGATGATAAACATAATTATTAGAAATGTGGAAAAGAAACTATCAAGTAAGTTAAAAACTTCAACTCAAAGAAATGGAATACCAATCATCACCGTTCTGCTGTTGCCTCCAAGAGAATCCTATAAATTCAACTCCATTGGTTAGCCAGGATGCTTTGGGAAACAGGATACTGCACTTAAATTATTGGACAAATATTTCTAGTATTTTTTTTTTCCTTCAATAAGGACTACACCATTTAACTTCCATTTTATTCTGTAACGCGTGAGCAAAAACTAATCAAAGGTCAGGCATCCTAAGATCTAGAAGCATACAAATCTCAATAATTAGTCACAATTGAATCGTTTTAACTATTTTAACTGACATCCAAATTACAATGAGTCAGGTCAAAAAGCTTCTGAACACGAAAGTACGAAGTTCCATTAAAAAAAAACAAACAGACATGCCTGTAGCAAACGTGTTAATTTGCTATCACGGTAGGGAACATGACACCCTTCTCTTCGTTTCTTCTCATCTCCCAATGCACTTATGACATTACCGAGAGCCAAAAGGCCTTTGTTGATGTGAACACCTAAAAAAAATCAGAACCCCTAAAAGATTAATTACAAGCATATCATTCTAAGGTCAACTGGCAACTTAAAAAATAGAAGTTCAATTCTAAGTCAGAGATAAGTCTGTCACAAGCCTATTGTACAATAGCATTATCAACAATACCTTCTTTAAAGCGCATGCCGTCTGCACCTGTTCGTTTTGCTCTTTCAGATCCTGCAAGATCCACCAAATGTAGCTTTGCACAAAGAATGTCGTCACATGAATCATCATGAGTCATGCCTCGCCTAGGCTTTTTCTTTTGCTCCATGGTAATCGTAAAGATGGCATGTGATCGACTGAAATATAATGCAAAAAGGAACCATGCTTATACATCAATAGATGAACTAAAGAAAATATAGCAGTTACAAAAGTTTAATACATAATAGAAGCAAAATTTCATGAATTTAATTCTGATTGCAAGAGTCCAACTTCAGAAAGTATGAACTGTGTCAATTTTATACCTTGACTGACTATTCATGTTGGTACTTCCAGTTGCACGTGCTAAGGAACCACAGGACAAGTGAGACGTCATTTCTTCTGTGGTCTGAACCTCTGCCTCAGTGACACCAACAAGCGTAATCCCACCATTCACAGTTTCTCTTATTTGTATTGGAACTCGCGGAGGAGCATAAGGCTTTGTTCCTTCAGCCTTTGTGTTGGGGCAAGCATTTGCGTCGAGCAAATCAAACACTTCTTCCTTGAATATCTGTCATAAGCGTATTCATGAAATACAAACAGATTAGATATTGGTAAATAAATTTCAAAAAACAAGAGTAATTCAATAGTCAGTTCTATATTACCTCAATAAATGAAACTCTGATCAAGAATTCTGTAGAATCCTCCATTTTCTTGACCTTTTTAAATATATTTTCCATTACTTTCGGTATTACTCCATCCTTACTTCCTTCACCACTATAATTTGTTCCCATTGTGTAAGTCTTTCCAGACCCCGTCTACATAAATGACAATAACTACGATCGTCATACGAGCATCAAACCAACCGCAAATAGTCAAAGTTGAAGCAATGGAAGAAAAGCAACTGAAAAATAACTAGATGTTAAACCTGTCCATAAGCCAGAACAGTGGCATTATAACCCTGAAATAGTGCGTCAACTAATGGAGCGACACAGTCGTCGTATAATGCATAAGATGGCGATCCAGCACTACCGTACACATTGTCATATGTGAAAACATGAGATCCAATTTGAACCTGTTAATAGCACCCACTCACAATCGAATCATTCAGTGAATCACAACGAAAATTCCACAAACACAAAACAGGGAACAAAAAACTCCATATCCATCGGAAAATATAACAGAATCAAAGCATTACAATTCCAGCATAATCTAAAAAGAAAAAGAACCGGCACCTGAGGTTCTCCAGGCACAACGGTAATACAATCAGTACATCCAACCATAAGCTCCGGTGTAATCAAAGGCCTAATATTAACAGCAACACGAACAGATTGCGAAGAATCTGCTGATTTCCCGTCCAAGTTCTCCATTGGAAACCTAAAACAACTAAAATTAACTTGTTCTAAGCAGGAAAACAAAAATTACAAAACCTCCAACCAACGAATCAACGGAAAACATCGCAAGTTTTAGATGAACTCTCAAATCAACCCAATCTGATAAAATAACAACGAGAATGTAAACCTAAATTACCTGAAAAGGATCGAGAAATGAAGCCGCAGAGATTTGGAGGGAGAAGGGAGGGGGGCGCTGTCCGCGAAGGATTTTGAAATTCGTAAAGACAAAAACAGAATGCGATTTTTAAAAGGGCAAAGTCGCAATATCCATCGATTTTATTAATCGAAATGGATGGAGAATTGGCGCCCAGGTCCGGATTCAAATGACCGGGGTCACGTGCGTGTCACGTGATGGGCAACGGCTTTTGCCTTTTTTGAATCTAAAATTGGGAAACCCATTGATCGCCAAAACTTAAAATAGACGATCTATCTAATCCTCCCAAAATGGGTCACGTGCAACATGCGTGACCTGGCTTTAATTATCCACTTTCAAATAAATATATGACCAAATTCAAAATGGATTCGGGCTCAACGGTAATAAGACTGGCCCATTTCGGCCCATCTGGGCCCATCGCAGATCAGTCTGGGCTCGCTATGGTTTCAATGAGTGACCTCGTGGGGCCCACGCGGGTTTCGTTTCAAATCGAACAGGCGGGTGATCGGATCAAAGCAAACTCAAATTTAAATATCTATTTTATTTGTCAAGTAATTTTAGTTCAGTGTCCTAATAAGATGAAATATGCTTAAATTAAGTTAATTTTTTTTATTAGGACGCATTTTAGACATTTCCTTATTAATATACAAATTTATTAATCAATTTTAAAATAGATTTTTTTGACTAAATTTTAAAAATTATCAAACCGACACCGACGAGAGAACCTTCATACCTCTTTTCTTCCTTTCCTTGAGTCTCCCGTTCTTCTTATTTCTTTATTTTTTTTCCTTATTATTTTTCCCATTCAATTATTCTTAGACCTTGAACATCTGGGTTCTACAAAAAATGATCGTTCGATTGGTCAATTTTTTTTAAATCTAAAGAAAATGAATTTACCACATGTACTAATTGGTCAAATATTAAACGTCAATTTTGTGTTTAAATTGACTCATATGAATCGGTAGGTGGTACCATTTACCGACTCTTTTTTACTATTTACCACAATGATAAATAAATAAATGCTACTTACTAAAAGTTTAGAAATTAAATGATTACACAATTTAAACGACAATTAATAGATAAATTATTAAAGTTTTATGGGTAAATAGTAATTTTAATTAAAGATAGAGGTCAAATATGGTTTAACACAGTACACAATGGAAGGGTAAAAAGGTCTTTTGGCAATGAAATTTAGCGGTACTTTTCCAAATTTCGAAATAGCGTGGTAGCTAAGAGCCTGGAAATGGATGAACGAATGTTAGGAGAATCCAACAAATTTTCTGTTCTTTGGTGACATTTTTTTTGGACCGGGAAAAAGAAGGAAGGGCAGCAGCTATTGCAATAGCGAAATCAGGCCCTTTCATTTTCTTGATTCCCAAACAGACCCGTTAATTTCGGGAAGAATCTGAGGAAAATTTGATGGAAAATTCTAATAGGGCTGAAGCTGAACGATTGCTTGGAATCGCTGAGAAACTCTTGCAAAATCGTGATTTTACCGGCTCCAAAGATTTTGCAATCTTAGCTCAAGAAACAGAGCCTCTTTTGGATGGTTCCGATCAGATCTTAGCTGTTGTGGATGTGCTGTTGGCGTCGGACAAGAGAATCAATAACCACAATGATTGGTATTCGATTCTTCAGGTTGAACGGCGATCTGATGATTCAGATCTCATCAAGAAACAGTATCGGAAGCTTGCGTTACTTCTACATCCAGATAAGAATAAATTTCCTTACGCCGATCAAGCTTTCAAGCTGGTTGCAGATTCGTGGGCAGTATTGTCCGATCACTCGAAGAAATCGCTTTACGATGACGAGCTCAATCTCTTTGATAAGATGGATTTGTCTGAGCAGAACAAATTGCCCGTGCGCCGAAGCCAACGCTCCAGTGGGAAGAAGCAGCAAGAGTTTGAGAGCAACGACAGTGCCAACGCCGATCTATCTCCAAATCAGCGGATGAAATTATCGAGTTTCTGGACCGCATGCCCTTACTGTTTCGTACTATTCGAGTATCCTAGGGTTTACGAGGGCTGCTGTTTGCGGTGTCAGAATTGCAAGAGGGCATTTCAGGCAGTGTTGCTGCCGTCCCTTCCGCCGCTGGTTCACGGCCAAGAAGCCTACTATTGCTGCTGGGGATTCTTTCCGATGGGGTTTTCGGCTCAAAATCCCGAGAAAAGTGAGAAGGGCACCGAAACAACGCCGCCAGCAGCGGCGTTCCCCAATTGGATGCCCCCAATATTCTCGAACAAGCCGCAAGAAAATAGTAGGAATGGAGAAACGACGCCCCTGGCGGCGGCAACCACGGCGGGTATAGAGAGAATGGCTGTAAATGCTCCTCCTGTTGCTAGCGCTCGGATAGCGAGGGGCACTGGCACAAGTAAGAAGAGGGGCAGGCCAAAGAAACCTTCGATTGCAGCCTAAGTTGTAAATTTTGTCAGGAATAATGATAACATTTATGGAGCCGATTGGAAATCTCTGATTCACGTTGTTGTAGTCTTTATATATTAAGCGATTATGTCCAGGTGGGCGAGTTAGAACAAAGAAGGCTGAAGCTGGGGAAACCTGAGGTAACCTTTCGTTTGTAATGTGGGCCTTCTGTTTTTTTATGTTGATTTTAGGCTTCAGATGTAGAAAATTAGATGGGTAGTTCCTGATTTTCTTCTACATGTTGATATGTAATATGTAACTTTATTCAAACCAGCAATGATAATTTGGAGTTTTTATCCAACCCCATTTGATTGAGGCTGCACTTACTGACACCTTCTGTGCAGTTTGCAATGGCCACAGCACATTGCCTGCTTATCATATCATGAACTAAACCATGAACTCCAAATGGGAGTTGCCCATTTCACAGTTAGTAGTAGGGGCCTTGATCCTTCTTCTTGAACTAAATTATGAAGTCGCCCGTAGCAAGTCGGCGCAAGCACCAACTATATTGAAGTAGCCTTTCTACTAACTTTGCTATTGTGTCTTGATGTTTCTGTATACTAATTTTTTGAAGTTTTCTTTGCTTTTACAATGATTAATCTGTGCACAATGGTGGATTATTAGGGATATAGTTTAATGATGTTATGAACGGTTGTTTAAAGAAGGAGTAAACCTTGCTTGGAGCGTTTTCATATTGCCAAGTTCAAGGCTTCTTATTGGTGTTCTCTGTAATTTGTTCGAGTCCTTTTCTCGTGGAGTGATATCTGTTTTAGTTCAAGTGCTTTTATTCACATTGCATTTGACACTTTGTTTCTGTTTTTGTACTCTTTTTCTTTCGGAGTTTGTATCTCGAACATTATGTCCTTTTCATTTGTCGATGAAAAGTTTGTTTCCTGTTAGAAAAAATGAAGAGGCTGCCTTGCTTTCAGCATCATATTGTTGGAGAGTCAATTATTGACCTTTTTTCTTTAATCCATTATCTTGTTTACCTAACTGCTTAAGCATTGCTCTTCTTCTATCCATTATTAGTGTCAAACTAGTAAAATTGACTACAGCCAAGCTCTTCCCTCCAATCAATGCCTGATTTCTGATCAACTTTAGTTGGTGATTAGTTCAAAACCACACGTCTCTTATGTTATGTGCCTATCAGCATCATGATTTATTAGTTGATGTGTTGAGTCTAAAACTCAAACTTATGACTTATTACTGTTGGCCTTCATAGTTCTGTTTGCAAGCGATATGAAGTGGATACATTTTTAACCTTGTATAAAATCAACTCGAGAAATGTTATGGTTCTTTTCTTTGGATCTGTCTATGCATTTTTGCAATCTGGTTATGGGCCATAGTTGCTTCCCTTTGGTCCCTCAGGAATCTCTTATTTTCAAGTAGGGTGGGGATGCTGGTATAGGAGAATTTTTGGTACTGCTAGTTTGAAGTATATATATTCCCTTCATTAGTTTAAGGTAGATAAAGTCTTTTATTCTGTGAGATATACAGTATTTGATTATTTTAGCTGAAGGAAGTTTGTACGGTGGTGTTACCATAAATTTTCCATGAAGAACGATCTTGATGTGTTCTATAGATTGTACACCTGCGCCTTTTGGTTTTTAAAACTGTACGTTTCCCATCAAAAAATTGAAAATGTTCTCTGTTGGGCAACATTAGAAAACGAGTTGTAAATTCTCCATTGAAGTGTTAGGATGCATATTTTAAAAGGATTTCACATGAGGATCTGTGATATCCACATTGGTTGGGGAGGAGAACGAAACATCCTTTATAAGGGTGTGGAAACCTTCCCCTATCAGACGCGTTTTAAAGCCTTAAGGTGAAGTTGGAAAGGGAAAGGCCAAAGAGTACAATATCGACTAGCGGTGGGCTTGGGCCATTATCGGATCAGAAGCTCTTGATTTACTTTCTTCCCTACTTTTCATTGCTAGCTCGGGGCAATGAGGAATAAAGTGAATTCTTGCTAATTTGGCTGATTTCTGTCTGATGAGCTAGATTTTAACTTGCTCTGCTGGATATTATATAGGATGGTGTGAAGTTTATAAGATATGCTTCCATTAGAAAACCCAGTTTCTAAATACTATCGAGCGTGCAGCATATCGATCCTGGCAATTTCAATATCTTCAAGAGCATGCTCGGAGAAAGTTCTTGTAGATTATAGATTTTTGTTTCTACTTGTTTCTACTTAACCCATTTGATTTAGGGCTGGACATAGCAATTTTTGTTTCCAAAGAAAGTACGTTACTCGACAGTTTCGTTTTCGCCCCGAGCGATCTATAAGGATCTGGTACGTTCTATTCCGCTCTATTATATTGCTATCCTGTGAGAAAAAAGTCATTTCTGGCCTACTTGATTGCTTTATCTCTGATGGGTAGTCTCCAACTACAAATTCTACTGTTGATATTTGTTTTGTTTGTACTTGCAGATGATCAAGGGAAGGAAAATATGGGCTTCGCTTATTCAAGGTTGGTTCACTTTCTCACCCACTTTGTGTTAATGGCATTTCTTGTTAGCCACTAAGCAACTTGAAGGAGAAAAGAAAGGCATTATGGAGTAAGGAATGAATGATAGGGGGATTTAGACCATCTTATTTTGGGCAATCACTGTTTAACTGTTTGAAGTTATTTGTGTGTAAAGTTCTTGAGAATAGGTGGAAAGGGTGGGGAAAGATGGTGGTGGGTGTTCTTAGAAGTCTGGTGTGGATAATGGGTTTGGAAGCTAAGCTATCATGTCATGTTACTTCATATCCTTTTTGCCTTCCAAAAGATCAAATTTCACACTTCATTATTCCTCCTCCATTCCACCCTTTCACATGTCTTTGCCAGACCACAAAACTGATGGGTGTGGGTCTTTCCTCTCATTTCCTTTTCTATTTGATACTCTAAATCCAAACCCAAAAACCCTCTCATCTCGAAATCACCTCAAAAAACCTGTAACGAGCTTAATTCTCGTCTTAGGTCGACGGATCTTCTCCATTGAAAGATCCCCTATATGGATAATACACACTCCAGTTCAACGAGTTTAATTCTAATTGTTTTGTTTCGAAGCAAACCACGAGGCGGTTCGTCCTATTCATATATTCACGACAAAGAAACACTGGATTCTCTTTTGGGTAGGCCCTAAAAGGAGAAGGAAGGCTGGAATGTCAATCGGCGTCTATTATTAAATTCACCTGACTCGATAGTACCCCATTTTTTGAACGTCCGGTGACTTCAAAGTCACTAAATGGATAAGTTGTCAATCCCTAAAACAGACTATGTAATGTACTTTATCAGCAGGGTTACGGGTGGGCATTTTACTAGAGGCTACGTATCGTCGTCAATCTCACAATTTTGAAACGAGTTTTTTTTCTCTCGTATATCGAACAAGCATTAGGGGTCTAATTGAACCAGTGTGTGATAATAATAATAATAATAAAAGAAATTAGAATGATATAATGGGACAAAATGAAAGTAGTTTGGAAGCCAATGGGATAAGCGAAGAAATGATGGACCACCGAATAAATAATAAATAAAATTAAAGAATCTGTCTTTCCAAAATTCAAAAGTCTACAAAGTGGAGAAGTGGATATCAAATCTTCCATTTATAGAAACAGTCCTAGAATTGTCCTTATCCCCCATTTTTCTTTTTTAATTAAAACATAAATAAACAATAAATGCTATTTTATTTATTTATTTATTTTGTTATATTATTAACACCTTAATTTTATTTTTTTAAAATAAATAATGATTCTAAAGTTGAGGTAAAAGGAAAAGTAAAATATTAAATTCTTTTATTTTATTAGGTAAATAATCTTTTCTAAATCTGTTTGTCAATCTTTTAATTTTTTTTTTATGTGGTAAATATTTCTTTATTCATGCAAAATATTTAATTGCATTATTAAAGTTGGAATAATTTGGCATTTATCTCCTCCTAATATAATTTAAATAATATCTTTGTCACCTTTACATTTTCTTTCGTCATTCAGTTATAAACAAACTGTATTGAGCGACAGATAAATTTATTTATTATTATTTTTGGTCATAGCTATACAATTTGATATTAGCCGTTCACATACAAGTTACTAATTCGTTTTTCGGTAATGAGGAGAGGGAACATAAAATATATTTTTCTCGTTAATTTAATAGAGACGTGTGTATAAGTTTTATGTTCAATAATCTTTAACTTACTTTCTACTTGGATTATTCTCGTATTTTAGGCATAACGCTCATATTAACGAGCTATTAAAATGAACTAACTATATATCATATGGTTCGGGTATTCATCTTGTTTTGCTCGTACCACACATTAAACAAGTGAAAAAAAGAGCTCACCTAATATGAAATAAAAGATTTAAATATTTATTAATGATTTTTTAAAACACATTAAATCAAATACTTATAATATTATTAAATTTAGAAATACATTAAAATTATTTTAGAAAATTAAAAAAAAAAAAACTATTTTTAAAATTATTGAGCAAAAATAAGAATTTGTCCCGAACATTCTACATAGCCTTTCTCTCTCCTAATTATGATTTTTAATAATATTATAATATATATATATATATATATATATATATATATATTATAATGTTAAAAAAACAAAAAGAAAATTCATGCAGAGAATGCTTGTTTGAAGGATCTAAATCCAGAGAAAGCCGAGGCCTCAACATGTTCCCAAAACCCCACCATCAACCACCGCCCCATTTCCAGCCCTTTCCCCGCCCCTTCTCCGTCGCGGCCACTCCGCCACCGCGCGATTCTTCCACCGCCGCCGATGAAGATTCCACCACCGGCCACTCGCCTCTCACGCGCGCTATGCTCCCCAAAGAACCGGCCTCCGGCGGCGACGGAGCTTCTATCGAGGTCGTTCGCCGTCCCCGTGGTCGACCTCCGGGATCCAAAAACAAGCCGAAGGCAGCCGCCGTTGTCGTCGCTGCACGCGACGCCGAGGCGGCGATGAGTCCTTATGTGCTCGAAGTTCCTGGCGGCAGTGATATCGTCGAGGCTATTTCCCGATTCTGCCGCCGCAGAAACACAGGGCTCTGTATTCTCAACGCTTACGGAACCGTCGCCGATGTCACACTCCGGCAGCCGTCCTCATCTCCGGTGGCGACCGTCACTTTCCATGGACGATTCGATATCCTTTCCGTCTGCGCTACTTTTGTTCCTCATACGACGTCGTTTCCAATCCCTAACGGATTCACCATCACGCTAGCAGGGCCGCAGGGCCAGATCTTCGGCGGTTTGGTTGCTGGAGCTTTAATCGGAGCCGGAACCGTCTTTGTAATAGCTGCCTCATTCAACAATCCCTCCTATCAACGGCTTCCATCAGAGGACGAGGTCAGAAAATCAGGCTTCAGCGATGTCGAAGAAGATCACTCTCCACCGATCTCCGGTGGAAAAGATAGCGAAAACACCAACGCCGCAGCCGATACCTGCGGCCTGCTGCCGATGTACAGTACTCACTCTTCCTCCGACGCAATATGGTCCCGACAACCAGCGGCGCCGCCGCACCACCGCCAGTACTAATACTTCGATTCCCCTGTTAATTTGTTGATCTGAATCTCTCTGTGTGTCTGTTTTTGAATCGGTGAAATTTTGTTGTGGTTGGGTTGCGGCTGTGATTTTTGTTGTGATAAAATTAAAAGTTATTTAGAAGATGAAATTTGTTTGAAGGAATCAAGAGAAGAGAGCGTTCCATGATCGGAGATTGATTATTGATTCTTGAAATTGGGATTGGGATTGAATGTTGATGAAATTATTGGCTGATGGGTAATTGGAAGCGCTGCTTTTATCATTAATGTTTATGGAAGAAAAGACTTAGCGTTTCATTTCAGACTGCTGCTGTTCAACCATGAGTATCTGTGCTTTGCCTCTGCCAATTGCAGCCTTTCCTTTTCCTTCTTTTCTTTTCTTTTTTCATAAGAAATGTGAAAGAATTGTGTAGTTGGGCGCTAACCAGAAAAACTCGATCAATCCAACCGGTTCAGTTTCGTTCCTTTCATCGGTTCAGACGTTCAGATACGGTCTCAATTGGTCTTTCCACCCGTTCAGTTGGGGTCGAAATAGGTCCTGCATGAGACGAGTTGAGTTGAATTGGGTTTAACTTTGAATTCAATGAATTTTTTAATAATCTGATCAATCCGACCAGTCTTGACCCATCGTTCTATTGGTTGAGTTGCAGTCTCGATCGGTCCTTCTACCGGTTGAGTTACCGTTTCGACCCGTTAAGTTGGGTATAACTTATTTAAATAAGGTTGAATTCAAATAATTGAAAACTTAGAGTTGCGGTTTAATGAACTTTTTAATAATCCGATCAATCCAACCAGTTCAAATTCGGTCTTTTTATCTTGGTCTTTCCACCAGTTCAATTGTGTTCGAGATAGGTTCTAGTTGAGTTGGGTTGAATTCAAATAATTGAAAATTTTATGAGTTGCGGTTTGATGAATTTTTTTAATAATTCGACGAGTCTCCACCCGTTAAGTTAAGTTCGAATTAAGTGAAATAAAATTATTAGTTTTATTTTGGTGTAATTAGTTTATGCATTGAAGAGAGTGAGGGAAGGGGTAGGTGTGGGGAGGTGTAGGGTTGTAGGAGGGCAGCCTAATAATCTATCAATCTTATCTCTTTTTCTATCTCTTCATCCCATTACNTTTCAACTTCACTTCTAACCAGTTTTTTTTTTTTTTTTTTTTTTTATTATTATTCTTTTCTCTTTCCTCTCAAACCCTAAATATTTCACCATCTTTATCCATCTATTTTATTTTATGCTTCTAAATCAAACCCTAAATTTTGTTTCTTAATTCTTATTTTAAATGAGCTTTAAAGTTTTAGTTGATAAAGCTCTCTTATATAAATTGATTTAAAATCAATTAATAACATACCTAGTTCGATAGAATTCTTATAAATAACTCAAAGTTACACCAGATGAATTCGAACTCCACGTCATAAAAGCCAAATTTATGAATAATCATCGGTATCAAAAAACGAGACCAATGGAATTGGATTTGGATTTGGATTTTGGACGAAGATAAATGAACAAAAAAAAAAAAAAAAAAAAAAAAAAAAAAAA